TTTCTTTCTCAGCCACTTTGGATTCCAGAGTCACCCTTCCTGATCATCCGATTTCTACGTTGATATTTCCAACCATAGAATTGGTCTGTAACACACTCCTTCACTTTCCTCTCCACTACAAAGTTTTCCAACCATATAAGGGCTGAGTTATAACTTAGAAGAATTGAAAAACTGTCTAATAGTATGCAGACTTTGATTGAATTTGTTCTCTGATGGCCTTAAAATGACAATATCCTACATTCTCTTTTCATGTTTCAAATTGAATATGAAGATTTTATAGTGTTTGATTCATGTATTTGTTTGAATCTTTCATACAAAAACTTATTCATTTTTTTTTACCAGACATTGTAAGTGAGAGTTCTGCACTATCAGATTTCTTATGTTACAAGCTGCACATTCGTGAATTTAACCTATTTTGTTGTTATGTAATTGTTAAATGGGACCTTGAACTCAGTTCCTTATTTTGTTTTTTATTCACTTGGGGACAAAAACTTGGTTCCATAAAGCGAACTTATGCAAGTCCAAATATGTAATATGTTTCTTTAGGGAGCAAGCACTTGGAGAATGCTTTATGGGTTGGATGTAAATCCAGAAAGAAATGTTGCACTCATTGCTGATAATTTTGGATACCTATATATGTATGTATGCTTTGAACTTTGACTCCAACACAAACCTTATTGGTAATCCATGATGAATTCTCCTAACATTGAATTGGACTAACTCATCTCTTTAAATTCTGAAGGGTTGATGTTAGGAGCAATAGTGTAATTGGTGAACCAATTTTGATTCACAAGAAGTCAAGTAAAGTCGTTGGTCTTCACTGCAATCCTTTTCAGCCAGATCTTCTGTTAAGCTGTGGAAATGATCACTTTGTAAGTTCCGATGGTCAGTTCGTATGATATTTTTTCAACTGTCATGGAAAATGCTAGGAAAATGAAAACGAAACTAACAGAAGTTATTTTCTTGTGCTTGACTTCATTGCAAAATTTGGTCAAACTTCAAACTTATTTATTTACCATAGTCCTACTATATCTATTATAAATAGTAAGAAATATAAGCTTATGATTTATTTTTATAATCACATCAATCACATTCTATTTTCTTTTGCTTGAATTTTCCGGGATCCAAACATACCATAAAAGTAATAATTCCAAATCATGGTTGGGTAGTGATTATATGGCACCACAGTTTTGGCTATCCTCTCTATTCACGGGGAAAATATCTAATTGATTCACATGATAGGCACGTATATGGGACATGCGGCTGTTGAAATCTGGATCTTCTCTGTGCAACCTACCACACAAACGTGTTGTAAACTCAGCGTACTTTTCTCCGCATAGTGGTAGCAAGATACTTACAACTTCACAGGATAATCGACTTCTGGTTTGGGATTCAATATATGGTAACCTTGATACTCCTAGCAGGGAAATTGTTCACAGTCATGATTTCAATCGACACCTTACTGCTTTTCGAGCAGAGTGGGACCCAAAAGTAAGCCCCATTCAATTGGAATCTAAACAAACATTTTATTTAGTGTCTATTTGGAAAGGCTTTAAGTGGATGAACTGGGTGAAGTTGCTGAAGTTGTTGAAATGACTGAATTATGGAAAATTGTGTATTTACAATTCAGTAATATTTTTCAAAATCAATTTTTAAAAATAAACTTAGTCTATAATTAATGTCTGAAGTGATTTAGAAAACTGAAAATGTTGAGAGTGAATTGTGTGATACGCAGGATCATTCGGAGTCGCTTGTTGTCATTGGGCGTTACATAAGCGAGAATTTCAATGGAACTGCCTTGCACCCCATCGATTTTATAGATATCAACACAGGACAGTTGGTTGCTGAAGTGATGGATCCGAACATAACAACAATCAGTCCTGTGAATAAGTTGCATCCACGTGATGATATTCTTGCATCTGGAAGTTCAAGGTCAGTCCTGAGTAAAACAGTTGCTTTAACATTTCTTAAAGCATCGACCTAAACATGGTACTTTGACATCTTTCAAATTGGCATATCCAGGACCCTCGAAAGTTCAAGTTTGGAGTGGTCCATAAAAGTAATTCACTCATGTAAATCTCCATAGTAAAAGTTTTACTTAAAAGATTTTTTATAACCAAACTCATGCAATGTTTTCAAAAATGAATCTATTCAAACATTATTGCTTTGCTTGCAGATAGTCATTCTTGTCATTGTGATAGTATTTTTTATTGTCTCACCATTTATTGCTCTTTTTATAGTCGGTTTGTGTTCGAACTCAACTACTAAACTGTGCAACTTGTATATAAAGTCTCTTCATTTTTCAATTTATAGTTCATATGAAGTTGCATGTAGTGACTGGTGTTCTTGAAATGAGTGTTTTGTGAGAATTTCAGGTCACTTTTTATTTGGAGGCCAGTGGGGGAATCTGAGGAAAGGGATGAGCAGAAGAAGATTTTAGTTATGGGGCATGCTGATAAGAAGATGCGAAAGACATTTGGTGATGCTGACAGTGATGAAGATGGAACTAGTGGTAAGAAGAACATCAAGAAAAAGAACATGAATGTTGCTTTGAAATCTCAGTCTCTCAGTCTCAAAAAGAAGAAAAGCTAGTTTTTTTTCTGCATTGTCTAATGATTTCCCAAGATACATATGCAGCTGTTTTGTATAGTTTAATAGTCCCAACTTCACAATTTTGTGTAGAACTTGGCCAGGTGAAGAAATGTTGTTGTCTTTTATGGCATGTTGAGCAGTTTAGCCTCTCTCTGGTCATGGGTCACTCTTTTCCTTCATTGTAGACTTGGTAGTGATGCAGCCTGACCCATAAAGTAGTTGGGACATTATTTAACGTGTTATTTTGTTATGCAAAATTTGATCGCTCCATTGTGTAAAGTATTGCTGGGCTATATATTTTGCTATTTTATGGTTTACTATCTATACTGCTCATCAACAAGGTAGTAGTATTGTGTTTTTGTAATGTATCATATGTAACCATAGTTCATAAGAGGAACTATTATTTTAGTTGCGTTGAGATCCAAATCAGAATTTGGAAACCAAAGCGCTTCGAGCTCACTGCTGGTCCTCAATCTCTTGCGCACGGGGTTTGTCAAAAGATGGTTCATGGTAGTAACTAGTAACGACTACTTAAACTCCTCCAGACGTTATCAGAAAAAGTTCTAATCTAGCCTAAACTACATCCTAAATGAAAACCGAGTGATCTAAACTATGTTATATACCCGGAGTAATTTTGTTGTTTCATTTTATTCTTTTGTTCTATAATTGTCAATAAGAGAATAATATCAAGTTCATAAGTAACTGATACGGAGTATTTCATTTAGTGATGGACCGGGTCGGGTCCGGGTCGGGCCTAGGCCCGGCCGGGTCTGGATGGCAATGGTTTAGGCCCGGGACCGGTCCGGTTGTCCACCGGTTCCGGGCCGGGCTGGGCCAATTCACATTTAATCTATCCCGAAACAACCCCAATTTCATCCTTAAACCGGGCCTAGACCCGGAACCGGTACCCGGTTCCCAGGCTGGGCCCACACAGTACCGGGCCGGTCCGGTCCGGTCCCCGGGTCGGGTGGCCCGCACCGAGGCCATCACTAATTTCATTAAATAAATTGTCAAAATTGAAAATTTGTAGTTTATTACTACGTATATTTTTAATAAGTCTTCTATTTTGGAAAACCAAATATAAAATATCATTCTTGGAAAAAACCTATTTTTAGTCATAGCCATAACAAATTTCTCATGAATTAATACCGTAGGGGTATTTAGGGTAGCAAATTAATACTTAATCCTATGTGTGAGTGATTTAGAGTTTTAGGCAGGGATGGAGCCTGTCCGGTCCGACTGGCCCGGCCCGCTACTGTGCGGCACCGGCCCGGCCCGCTACTGTGCGGGACCGGCCCGGCCTGCTACTGTGCGGGTCCGGGACTTGAAAAATGCGGACCGGCCCGGCCGGTCTGGGCTTTTTTTATTTTTATTTTTTTGGGTTTGGGCTGGGTTTAGGTGGGCTGGGTGTTTTCGAGGGGTTTGCAGGGTGGGGGGTTGGAATAAAGAAGAAATACCGACCCGGAATGGTAGACTCCTGGGCCGGTCCCGGGCCTTATCCAAAAAAATCCAAGCCCGGCCGGGCCCAGGTCCGAACCGGAACCGGACCGGGCCCGGTCCACCCCTAGTTTTAGATGTGTTATTTGGATTGTATTTGAGTTAATTATCAAAATAGGTCTAAAAGTCATTCACTTTGCACAAATAGGACCACAAAATAAACTATGTTTCCATAGGACTAATTATTTGTGTCTTGGACAAATATACCCTTATACCTATTGGAATGTTTTAATTCATAATAAGATAATAAAAAATAATAAAAATTCGTAAAATATACCAAAAAATTAATAAGAATATTTTGAGTAATAATAAATTTTTTTCTTATTTTTTATTTTATAAAAAATTTAATAATTTTTTTATTATTTTTCTACGAATTATTGAAATTTTTTCAGATTTATTATGAATTAAACATTTAATTATGACTTTTAGCTATCTTTTACTAATATTTAAATGAGGGGTAAGAATGGAAGGAAGAAATGAGTATGTTTCCAATAGGACCACTATGGTCCTATTTTGGAATAAAAACATAGTAAATCCTATTTTGAGTTTTTGCCATAGTTTTAGTCCTATTTGAAGCAATTTCTAATTGTTTTTCAGTCTCAGACAGACTAGACTTAAACAGATCTAACTAGATTTAAATAGACCATATCAGACCAGGCTCCCATTGTTATAAAAATATCGAGACCATACATTTACAAGACTATTTCGGACTTCGGACCAGATCAGACCAGACCTTTACCTTTCAAATAGTAGGTTTAGGACAATTACCACAAAAACAAAATACTAGCAGCAAAATAACGTCCTTGTTGCTTGAAACTCAAGAACCGTAACCACGAACTCTACATTGGAAGTTGGAACCAGTTATGACGGAAAATGTCGTTTTTTCCTCTGAACGTAAGATATGTATCATTATAAGTTCCCCTGAATTCTCCAGCCATAATACTTACTCGTATTACTATTATCCACTGAATTGTCTTTAATACGAAGTATATAGTAGTCTCCACATATGTTATGTCGATGACCCTCTCGAAGAGAACATGTTCATTCTCTCCTGAGATTACGGTAATGAAGTTTGCTTCGGACTTTATTTTCAATATTGATTAATTGGTAGCTAGTTTTGGATTCTAATCTGCATAAAACTAAACTGCAGAGTATTGTCTCCGCCGAAACTTCTAATCAGAGAGCCAACACGGATGATGCAAATATGCCTAGTCCAAACTCCAAAGGGAATAGCAGATATGCATGGTACCTATAAAGCTTTTCTGGATTCAAACAGCCTTGGCCGCTTTATTAGTGTGTGTACAGTAAATCTTCATTTCTTATTCATATACAATATGATTATTTCCATCAAGTATCATATATTCATATAATCATTTTTGAAAGACTTTAAGTAGACTTTTCATGTCTACACTTCCCCATTCAATGGCATTTATCAAGTCAACAAATTTTATGATGCGTAGAAAGGAAATACATCTAAGAAGGGGATAACGTAGTTCCAGTCCCTTGGGAAAATAGCTCATTATAATGTCTATCAGGGACGGAGCTAGGATGTAATGTCAGTGGTGTCAAAATTACCCTAAGGAGCGCGCAGATCATATCAGGCCGGCCTAACGGGAACCTCTGTCAAGCCGAAGCCATTTAGGGCCCTTTCCGATGAAACTTTTTGATCAGATATATGGAACATATTCTTCATTAAGTCTAGTTTATGCCCACCAAATTTCAGCTAAAATTTCAACCGGGGAAGCATTTAAATAAAGTTTTTACAAAAGTTGCGCTTTATATATATAAACAACAGAGTTTTGGTAATGAATTCAGTTAACTGCCTTCCCGATTGAACTTTAAGCTGCAATTTGATTGACGAAAAACCGACTTGATGAAAAATATGATCACAAAAAATTATCAAAAAATTCCACCAGAAAGAGCCCCGAATGGCCTTAGCCGGTCTAACAGGATCGCTACTCTTATCCTAAGTGAGGGTAAATTAATGTGAATTTTAAATTAGGAGTATTATATTATTGTTTCAATTTCTTATTAAATATTATCAACATTATTCTTTCAATCATACATAAAAAACTTGTGAGATAGGGGAGTAGGTTTCGGTTCAAATAAGAACATGATCTTAGGAGAGAAATGAGAATGAATCTGGACTGTTAGATTTGCTTTAAGTGAAATTCAATGTGCATTATTTGAAACTGCAATGTGCATTACGTGGAATTAAAATTTGGAGCACAAAGGGTATGATACAGTGACATTATGTGAAGCTGAGTTATGCATTAGATGAAATTGAAATATGCACTAGATGAAACTGAAATGTACAGAATAAAAGGTACGATGTGATGTTATTTTTGTACCTTTTATTCCGCACATTTCAGTTTCACCTAAAGCACATTTGAGTTTAAAATTTATTCTGCACATTCCAATATCATCTAATGCACATTTCAGTTTCACCGAATGCACAATTCAGTTCCACATAATACAATCTAACGGTTCAGATCATTCTCATTTCTCTCCCGGGAGTCCGTTCTTACCGCAAACGCTCCCTAGGGAAGTATATTATATATAGACACTTTATAAAAAATTAGTAATGTCATTTTTAACACTTTTAATCTATATATACATATATATACAATAAATATATAATTTGAGTGGTGTCATTTTTAACACTTTCAATTTATATATGCATATATATACAATAAATATATAATTTGAGTGGTGTCATTTGACACCATAAGCCAACACTTGGCTACGTCCCTGATGTCTACGCTTCTTTGCTTCTTTGTTATGATTTATGAAGCAATAGTCAGTAGATTTAATATCAACTGGGTGATAAAAAGTAAAAATATACGAGTACCTCTTATGGCCGATTTCTTTGATCTCCATGCCCTTCCCTGGTCTCCACAGCGTAGCCATCAACTCCTTGAATACTGGGAATTTTATCTTCCTGTCCGTTATCAGCGCACCCACTACTGGGAAACTCGGTCGAGACTCCTCCCTTGAACCCTCTGCGGTATTTCGTCAAAATCCTGCTCCACTGCCTCCTCATCTACGCTCATCTTGCGGTACAGATCGGCAATCGTCTCCATGCAAAGCCCTTGGCGACGGACCCGCTTCGTCTTCCCCCACCTCCGACCCTTTGCTACGGCAATCAATGGAAAGTAACAACAGCAATATTCGCCTCTTCTTGTTGAATAGCGTCGAAAACTCCAATCCACAGCCGATTAAAACCAGCACCGTTACTTGTCAAAGGGATGAGAGCGGACGAATGAAGCCCTAGCGGCGGTCAAGCCCCAGAGAGAGAGCTTATGTGAGTTTTCTCGCACTTAAAATAGATCGTAGTATAAGGTGTAAGTACGAGTATCGTCTCCACAGTGACGGACAAAAGGGAATCAAGAATTGATTAAATTCAGCGATTAAAAAGAAATAAAATAAATGTGTCGTGCGAGAATGATTGGTGGAAAATTAAAATGCGAATAAAACGATTAAACTAAGGGGTTGTCTCTAATTAATGATGAAGAGAACAAGGATTGATTCCGGGGTAACCAGATTTCTGGCAGATCGGGCCTAATTACATGAAATTAATTCAATTGAGCCTAGCTAATCATTACTAAGTTCTTACCGCTCTCGCGGCGTATAGTACAATAATTTAGGGGACCAGGCTGATCGCTCATGCGACATGATCCTAAATTATTGCCAAGACGAGCGAGCTTACGGCCCCTTAATCGCTACTAATTTCTTAGTGAACGATTAAGTGTGTGTGAATGTGTCCTAGAATAAATTAGACCTCTCTTAATTTATTATACAGACAATTGTAATTCTAGCCGCGGTTCCAGGTTACAAAAGATATCAATTAAATTATTCAAACACAAATTAAACGGCATTCATGCAATTAAACGAACAAGAATCAATCCCAAATCTCTAATTAAACCACTCACAATTGATAATTGAAGAATCTTCAGAATTGGGAAGAATAGAATTGATTGTCAATAATTAAAAAGATGGAACTTACACAAAATACCAAAAGATTGATGAACAAGGCTGAAAAACCCTCTAAATTTCATGTTGGGCACTCTCTCTAAGCTCCTCGCTTCAAAACGGGGGCTTACAGGCCGTTTAAATAGAAAATTCGGGTCAAATTTGAGTTGAATTGGGATTTCCGAAGGCAGACACGGTGCCAGGCACGACCGTGCCTCCGGAGCAAAATCGCGCGTTTTGGGCAGGCACGGTCGTGCCTCCCTCCAGGCACGATCATACCTGCCTGGTAGTAGTTCCGCAGTTCTTTCTCTTCATGCACGATCATGCCTAACTTTGAGGGCACGATCGTGCTTACTTAAGTTCAGAATTTGATGACGCTTCCTTCACAAAAGTTGTAGATAATGAAGTCCTCTATCGACCACAACTTGCTGAATGAGATTTGAATCATCCAATCAAGAGATATGATCAAAACGGTGGAAGGTCGCATTCTGAAATCGTAACAGGGATCATCTGACTTCATCGTCTGTTTTCACCTTCTTCCTCTTAGATTCTCGCAAAGATGTCTGCATATGATTTGTAGACCTTGATGTTAGATTTCATATGGAACTTGAAAGGTGTACATTAGATGTTTCTACAAAGAGATATGCTTGAACGAATGGCAGAAGGTCATCCTGATCGCCGTTTTCAAGCTCTTTTCGTCTTCTTTTGATCCCGTAGCCAATCCTAGAGCTCTTTTGTCATCAAATCTTCATCATAAAACTCTCAGTGACCTCCATAGCTCTCAAATCAATCTCAAATCATCTTGTTTGTTCCTCAAGCGCCGGTGCCGGCTCAAATTCCCTAATTTTGACTCAAAATGACACAAAACTCGACCCAACGCCTGGTAAACACAACTTAGTTTGGTTTTCCTTGATTTCCCTGATAAACCAAGGAAAACCATCAAAAGTCGATCCCAACACGCATCAAATGCGTGTTAAAATACGTATTTAAAATGAAGACTTGAAGTTGCTAAAATACGTATTAGAGTCATTCATTTACGAAGTAGTTGAAGAGTTGAAGTTGCTAAAGTTGTTGAAATGACTGAATTATTAAAAGGGGAAAGTTCCCGAAATAGGACTAAAAAAATTTGAAAATTCCAAAATAGGACTGTCATGTTTTTATTCTCAAAATAGGACTAATTACTGCCAAACTTGGAAAATACTGTCATGTTTAAAGTCTGGTACTGCCAAAACATGACAGTAATTAGTCCTATTTCGGGAATAAAAACATGGAAGTCCTATTTTTGGAATTTTCAAACTGTTTTAGTCCTATTTTGGGTAATATCTCTATTAAAAATTATGCATTTACATACAGTAATATTTTTAAAATGAATTTTAAAAATAAACTTAGTCTATAATTAATGTCCCAAGTGATTTAGAAAACTGAAATGTTGTCATGTTGAGAGTGAATTGTATGATATGCAGGATCATTTGGAGTCGCTTATTGTCATTCAATGAAACTGCCTTGCACCTCATTGATTTTAGAAAAATGTGTGGTGTACACAAAATGCGTACACTTTTTTTGCACACTTATCTGTCCCCAGCAGATAAGTTGTCTATCACAAACAACTTGAATTCGAGTTGTCTATGACAGACAACCTGTCTGCTGGGGACAGACAAGTACAAAAAAGGTATAGATATCACCACGGGACAGTTGGTTGCTGAAGTGATGGATCCGAACATAACAACAATCAGGATGTTTTTACTTAGACTGTAATTTGTCCCAAATCAGACCAGACCAGACCATTCCAGACCAGACCAGTCCAGACAAGACCAGACCAGTTCAGACCAGACCAGACCAGACTTGGATAGTTATAAAAATACAAAGAAACCAGACCTTACCAGATCAGACCAGACCAGACCAGCAAATTACAGTCCAAGTAAAAACATCCTCAGTCCTGTGAATAAGTTGCATCCTGAGTAAAACATTTGCTTTAACCTTTCTTAAAGCATCGATCTAAACATGCTGCTTTGACATCTTTCAAATTGGCATATCCAGGAGACCAGTACCCTTAAGAGTTCAAATTTGGAGTGGTCCATAAAAGTAATTCACTCATGTAAATCTCCATAGTATTTTTTTATAACCAAACTTGGGCAATGTTCTCAAAGATGAAACTATTCAAAAATTAATTCTTTGCTTGCAGATTATCATTCTTGTCACTGTGATAGTCTTTTTTTGTCTCACCATTTGTTGCCGGTTTCTTGTCACAAAGCGTGGACTATATCCTCGTGATTGTGGATTTCAGTTATTCTTCCAATCGATAATTAGGCCAAATAAAAAGCTT